GGGGGGTGGGGGGATGGGGAGAAAGGGGTATGTCTTCCTTCAGCTGTTACCTTGAACTATGCATGGATAGTGAAGCTTTGCGGATGGTCGGCGGGTGCTGTTTTGTGGTTTGCTTGTTCTCTCCTATCAGTAATTCATTGTCCTAATTCTCCTCTTTCTTTTTTGTGTACGTTACTCTCGTGTAACACCTCAAATCTTCGGCACTTATATGATCTGATTGTGTCGCAAGTACCGAAAAACACTGACTAAAACAAGTGAAGGTTTTCTTGTTGTTGTTTTTTTAAACGTGCGCAACTTGCACACGGGATCTCCGAGATTTTTCGCCCTTGTCCGGGAAGGCTAGGTGTAGATCTCTCCTACCTGAAGATCAGGGGTGTGGCTGAAAGACAGCAGTTAGGAGGAGCCAAGGAGTAGCAGTAGAAAGGCTGCAGAAAGAGTCAGGAGCCCAGTGTGTGGCGTCGTAGCCTAGTGGTTAAGCTACCGCGACTCGTAATCGTGAGATTGCGGGTTCGGAGGTTCGAGCCTCAGCGCGGTCCAACGTTCTGTCCTTGGCAAAGGCACTTTACACGAATTTCCCACTTGGCTCGGTCTTTTCAGAGATTGGCGTTACACTCAGAGGAGTGGGTGGTTGGCGGGTGCTCTGGTGTGGTTTTCTTCTTCTTTCCAATCAAACATCCATCGTCCTTATCGCCCCTCCTTCTTTTTATGTTTGTTACTCTCTTGTTACACCTCTAATCTCCTGTACTTATATGGCCTTATTGTGTTGCAAGTGCCGCAAAACTCTTACTAAAACTTTTTTTTTTAACTCGGAGGTCCCGCCTCTTAAATAACCGTACAGTAAGTTTTGACAGGGACGTTGAACTGTTACCTTTTCACCGACGATAGTGTAGCGTATCGGCCGTGCTTTTTTTTCTTCTTTTACTTCTTTTCCCCCCTTTTTTTTCCTTCTCTTTTCTGCCCCACCGTTCTTACCACTGAACAGTCTACTTTACCTATGAGTTCGCCCATTTTAGGCATAATAGTGACGTAAAACTCATAAGAAGACGACACATGTGTCCTGAAGTAAGGTTAGTCAGCCCGAATGAATCATCATCTTTCGCCTGGCTCCACGAACACTACGTATGTAATACTATGTAAGCCACGGAACACGGCCAAATTCCATGTCAATAGTGTGGCCAATGATTATAAAAATACGTTCTCTGGTGTGGCCTCTCGTGTGTCAACATACCTAAAAATAGAACGGCGTTCAATGTGGTCTCATCGTGGCGTACCTTCCGCTGCTAGCCTCCTTGTCGTCTTAATTGTTGTTTGATGAGTGGTGATCTGGAGTGTGCAGCGAAAGAGTTTTTGGAAGGCGATAGCAGTGACTGGTAGGCCCATGTCTTTTTTCCCCGTTTGCTGTTTCTGTTTTCTGTTTAACATCGTCACTAATCGACCTCCAACTTAACTACCATAATCTAGTTGCCTGTGTGCTTTTCCTGAAGTCAGACGTGAAGGAAATTAATTTTGTATATTTTGATGTGTGTAGTATTGTATTTTATGGTTGAAAAGTTTGTGATAAGAACGGAGGTAGCTTTGCTGTTGGCCACTGTGAGTAACTATAACATTATTTCTATTGTTGCTATTCTAGATGAGTAAGTATGTGTGGTGAGTGTGTGTGTGTGTTTGTGTGTGTGTGTGTGTGTGTGTGTGTGTGTGTGTGTGTGTGTGTAAATGTGTGTGTTTGTGTACATGTGTGTGTGTGTGTGTTTATGTGGGTATGTACATGTGTGTGTGTTT